CTTGATCTATTTCTCTTTCCTTCCTTCCCTCCCAGACAGTATCATACTTTCTTCACATTTCTAACAATAGTAGGTCTGTTTGCTTTTGGTTGGAAAACCAGAGCACATTGCTCTTAAGTAGTGCATCGGCCTACTGACAGTATTGAATGTTTTAGGCCTGTCTGTTGACTTGTGGGTTTCTTGTCAACCAACTTCCTAATTCCTAAGTGCAAATGAATTTTGAATCCTAACTAAGAGGCTCTTGGTACCTGTTTGTCAGTTTTGCAAAAATAAAGTTAAATGCTTGAAGAAAGCAAAGTGCTTTGGGTAGACAGTTGTAAAAAAAAATAAAAATAAAATTTCCATTGTTACATAAAATGAATGTACTTAGTTTTTTCAAATGTATTAAACTTAATCAAATTTTCCTACTGCCTACACACAAATCTTGGAAAAGTCAATAAGCTGGAAAAGGATTTTTTGGTTTTGGCTTGCAGCTACTTATATAAAGCATTCCCTTTTCTTTTAGAATTCCCTAATGCAATAATGGCAAACATAGTACTTCTTAAATTGGAATTTTAAAATTGGAGTTTAGCTTTCCCATGATTGGAATGTAACTGAGGACCAACTCTGTTCACTGTATTTCGTTAGTTAAGTTTGGTTAATAGCAGTTAGCAAAAAGCATATAATCATCTTATGCGCCTGCAGGGTATAGCAGTTAGAAACAGTTGTTAATACATTCTGGTGCATAATTTATGACTCACTATTAATTTATTTTATAAATGACTTTCAAGTTATGTGTCATAAACTCCCATTTTCCTACATGTGAAATGTAAGAATTTTTTTCACTTAAATCTAGTCTAAATGGCTTTTTAATATGCAAGTAAATTTCTTTTCTAAACCTAACTTCAAAATAAATTCCAAAAGAGTTAGCCTATCTAGTGGGAAAGAAACCTGATTACTCTGAACTTTGTTAATTTATTAGGCATTTGAAACAGTGAACAAACAAGTATTACAACCTTTCTGGTTACTTAAATAATATAGGTTTATTGAAACTTCACACTGTATCGTCAGTACGTTAGATGGTACAATGTAATGTTGAATAAAACCAGACACTTGACTTTCATGGAATTTATAACCTACTGGGAAGAGGACACATCAGATTGTAATCATGTTACAAGTAGAATATCAGTACGTTAGAGGTACAATGTCAGTACGTTAGATGGTACAATGTAATGTTGAATAAAACCAGACACTTGACTTTCATGGAATTTATAACCTACTGGGAAGAGGACACATCAGATTGTAATCATGTTACAAGTAGAATATTAAACTTAAAATAATGGTCATGATAAGTTCTAGAAGCACTCTTAAGTACTTATAAAGGGGGATTTTAACCCTCTCTAGAAGGTCAGAAATGATTTCACTGAGAAATGACAGTTGAACCAAAATCAGAAGGATAACATGAAAGAATGATAAAAAGAGCAGTCCTACCAGAGGAAACAAGTGTAAAGACCTGGTGGTAGGTAGGTGGGAGCATGGTGAAGACAGAGGAGTTAAAGAAGGCCCATGTGGCCATCCTAAGACAAACTAGAAACCACCAAAGAGAATTAATTAAGTAAAGTCTGTCGTCAAATCTTGTGTTAAGATATGTATTCTGAGTGAAATGTGGATAACTGGTTAGAGAGGGGCAAGAATGGATAAAGACAAACCAGTTACCAGTAACTCAGCCAAGAGAGTTAGGAGGTCACGATAGGGGAAGAAGTGGTACAATTTGAGATATATTTAGGAGATAAAATTAACATGACTTGATAACAGATTCGTTGTGAGGGATCTAGAAAAGAAAGCTTAAAATGAACCCTCAGTTTTTAATTGAACAAAGGGTTGTTCTTTTCTCTAAAATTTAAAACAAAAGAATCCATTTGAAGGTGAAGAACATGGGTTCAAGTGTGCATCATAGGTTATTTTAAGCATGCTCAAAAGGAAATATCAAGCAGTTGCACAGTTAGGTCTGGAGCTAGAGAGATCTTAGCTAAAGGCAGAAATTATTGGGTTAATTTGTTTAGGTAGGAATTATACAGGTAAGATCACTTAGGTCTAAAAAGTATATTGTTAAAAGAAGATTGGCTTAGGGCTGCCCCTTGAACTTATGACTGGTAAGAGTGGATGAATGTTCAAAGACCAAGATAGAGTAGCTCTAGAGGATGGAATGAAACCCTGGAGAGTATTTTATCATGAAAAGAAGAGGAAAATGTTCCTAGAAAGTGGTCAAAAGGGCAGCCCAGGTGGCTCAGCGGTTTAGCGCCGCCTTCAGCCCAGGGCCTGATCCTGGAGACCTGGGATCGAGTTCCATGTCGGGCTCCCTGCATGGAGCCTGCTTCTTCTGCCTGTGTCTCTGCCTCTCTTTCTCTGTATGTCTCTCATGAATAAATAAATACAATCTTAAAAAAAAAAAAAAAGTGCTCAAAAATGTCAAATGCTCCTGAAATTGCAAGTAAAGTGAAGCCTGAAAAATTTCTGTTTTATTTGAGGGACTTTTTAGAAATCATTGGTGTCTATTGTAACAGTTTTTAGTGGACTAATGGAAATGGAAATCTAACTGGAATTATGTGGCATGCAAAAATGGAGAGTTTGAGCCTCTGAAAGCTTGGCTCGGGCAGTTATAGAAAGAGGGTACTCTTAGTGATCTTTATAGTGAGGATGTTTTGTCTTGCCTCTAGTGAAAGTGAGTCAAGGACAATGAATAATTAATTAATTAATTAATCCATTGAAGAGATTGACAGTGCTAGAGTAAAGGAGTAGTCTGAAGTACAGGTTCTAGGAAGGCAGAAAAGATGAGATCCAAAACACAACTAGGAAGGAGATGAATGTCAGATACTGTGTGGGAGAATTTCTTATAACTTTGTTATAGAGGACAGTAGATGATACACGTAAATTTGCATTCATGGTGGTAGAAACATGATGGTTCCCCTCTGATGTTCATTTTCTCCATAAAATTGGAAAAGAGAAAGAGGAAGTTCAGCTGTTTGAGAAAGCAGGCAAAGGTTTAATAGTCATTATAGAAGGAATTGACACAAAAAATATTATAGGTTGGCTAAGAGTGTAGGAACCTATTTTAGGTTAATTATAATGAATTTAAAGTAGATAGAATATCTCAAGTATTTCCCAGTTCTTGGTGGGGGCAGGGGGGGGGGGGCACTGCGAAAAAAGAACTCAGGATGAGGGGTGCCTAGGTGTCTCAGTTGGTTAGGTTGCCAACTCTTGGTTTCAGCTCAGGTCATGATCTTGGGATCCTGGGATTGAGCCCTTCTCCTGGCTCTGCACTCAGTGTGGAGTCTACTTGAGGATCCTCCCTCCCTCTCCTGCCCCCTTCTAAAATAAATAAATAAGTCTTTGGGGGAGAAAAACAACTCAGGATTATGTTTTCATCCAGGATTAACTAGAGAGATTGCTAACAGGAAGGATGGAGTTTAAGGTATTGGCAAGTGTGGATCATGTATATAAGCTGACTAGTAGTAGGAAAATTAAAAAGAACAGAACTGATCTTTTAAAATAAAGTACAGGAATCAGTGAACTTGTTGGTCTCAGTAAAGTCAAAGATGGTGTTGGTAGGTAGAGTTGAACGAGGAAACTGATAGGCATTGTGATCTCAGTGTAGAGTATTTGAATTAATGGTTATAAAAATAGAACCCTTATGGTGATAACAAGGACTATAGTGTGACCTTGGACGTGAGTGCTGAGATTGAATAAGATTAGATCATGAAAAAAGAAATTCAACAAGTGAGGATATAATAATGGATATCTGTGTCACCGAGACTGGTGGCAAAAGTTAGGGGAGAGATAAATTGTACATTGATCGCCAGTATTTTCACTGACAAAGGGGATGCAATATACTGCGAGTAAAAGAATATGTTAAAGCCAAATGCAAGAGCCTTGAAGAAGCAGTATGATATTGATATTGCTATTTTGACAAGGAGAATCTGAGGGATTCTATGTGCCAGGCGCTCTTGCAAGGCTCAGAAAATATCAAATGCCACAAGGCCCCTGTCCTCTAGGAGTGCCCAGGCTATAGAATAAGATGGCCACATGAGCAGTTAGCAGTTAGGAACAGTACAGTGATACAGATCCTACCTACAAAGTTTCGTGGGAATACAGAGGTTGGAGGGGGATATCTCTACCTGAAGAAGTCATTGGAAGATTTGTTAGGAAAGATTATATCTGACCTGAATTTTACATAGTTCTTTAATTAGAGAACGGAAAGAAGGACATTATAGAATTGATAAGATATAGGACTCCTAATAATGACAGGCAGAATATAAACTCAAAATGATAGCATCCCATTGTACTAAGTAAGTACTCTTAAACATGTAGTTCTTCATCGTTAGAATATTTTCACTTCTTGGCCACTCTTTCTGTTTTTCTGTTCTTAGACTTCAGCACTTTTGTCAAACGGGATGATTTAAAGCATCTGTCAGTGTGTGTGCGTGTATACATGCACTCTTAAGTTTTCAACATTTCTTTTAAAGTTAATGCTTGATGTTTATTACTGGAAAAAAATGCAAGGGTTTCTGTATAAATAAGTAAAATATTACCATTTTCACACATTTGCTTTGGATAATATAAACACTCATTCAGTAAATTAAATTCCTGCCAGTATGGGTAAAGCTTGTTTTAAATCACAAGCGTCCAAAGAGGAGTATGATGCTCTGTAATCTCAGGGAACTCACCATTTATTATTTTCCAAGCACAAAATATAAATGCACTGTTAAAATACTAATCATCGAGAATGCTGTGACTTTTTTAAAAAATCATAGCTTGTTTCTCTTAAGTCCTCAGACACATTTTTAGAATGTTGATTTACTCCTTCACTGTTTATGGAAGAAGTTTGATTTCATCAAACTGTGAATATGGTTGAAAATTTGGTTAAAGTGACTGGAGTTAAACTGTAATATTAAGACTCAACATAAAGTGTTTCTTCTTGAATTAAAAGAGAACCTTTCTAATTTTGTCTTTATTCCTCAAAGGTTGTGAAGATGAGAAAAGAAGTGAAGAGAATCCGAGTGTTGGTTATCCGAAAACTTGTCAGGAGTGTTGGCAGACTGAAGTCAAAAAAGTTAGTCACTTGAAGTCATGATCCTATGACCAATAAAATGTCAGAAGTTGTTTTTATTCAGTATTTACAAATTTGAGGGTGGGACGAGAAGGAATAATTGAGGTTCTTACTCATACAGCACTTTGTTTTATATGGAAAGAGGATTTGAGTGGAATACAGTGTGCTGTGTCAGCATGTCCTTATATGGTTTGGGCCACATTCACTTAAGATACACAATAAATTCTTCTGTTTTTTTTTTTTTTTCTTTTTTTTTTTTTCCCCAGAGTGCTCCTTCTGGCCTTTTCAGAATGAAGGTCCTTTGGAATTATTTATGAATTTTATGTTGTTGGAAGTTATTTTAAGAGGTTGATGTTTAATAAATCTAGTAATTCCTTGAATCAGTTTTAAAGGTTTTATGTCACTTTATTCCTTGAATTACTGAATAATTTGAAATCTTGATTACCTTGTGGAAGTGCTTATCAAAATACTATGTTCCATCTATTTTTTAATATTTTCTAATTTCATTATCATTAGTATTAGAGTAAGCATATTACAGTTTTAATGCTTTCAACCTAAATATTTAGTCTTCACATGTAATTTGTTCCTGATTAATTTCTGACTCTATCATAAATAACCTTTCTCTCTGTTGTAATCAGATATTTCTCTTTATGTACTCTTTTAATTCCAGAGAACAAATTTTATTTAATAAAACTACATCTGACCTTTAGTTATAGCCCATGAATTCAGCTTATGTTACATCAAATACAATGTGCCATTAAACAGTTGATTAAAAAGTATTGTTCAGGGGATCCCTGGGTGGCTCAGCGGTTTGGCACCTGCCTTTGGCCCAGGGTGCGATCCTGGAGTCCCGGGGTCGAGTCCCGCATCGGGCTCCCAGCATGGAGCCTGCTTCTCCCTTCTCCCTCTGCCTGTGTCTCTGCCTCTCTCTCTCTGTCTCTCTCTCTATCATTCATGAATGAATGAATGAATGAATGAATGAATAAATAAATAAATAAATAAATAAATAAATAAATAAATAAATACATAAATCTTTAAAAAATATATTATTCAGCTTTCCATTAAGGAATTAAAAGGCCAATGACTATTACTAGTAGTAATAGTCATTAATATAATGCCAAACAGTGCTATATTTGCCAAAAACTTGGGTTTGTTGATGGAATTGGTGTCTGTGTTGGGTAGTGTAGGATAACAATGTTTGTTATTTAGAGATTATGCTTTTCTAAGAGAAATGAAGAGACTTTTCATTGTGATCTGAGTCTAAAATACCTGGCTGTATATTTTCATGTATTTTCACAGAGGTACTGAAGATGCACTGTTAAAAAACCAAAGACGAGCACAACGATTGCTTGAAGAAATTCATGCTATGAAGGTAAGGCCTTGTGTGAGTGTGTGTATATATATATGTGTGTTTCTGTGTCTCCTCTCAGCCTGCTGTGTGTGTGTGTGTGTGTGTGTGTGTGATATTGGTTATTTGAATATTATTGCCAGTTGACTGAGACTTATTTTTATGGGTCTATTTGGTGAAGAATGTAGCACATTTAGAAAATTGTAATATGTTTAAGGTTGCATTTTTCCATGTTTTTTACTGAATTTGTTTAAAGTACTATAATAATTTACAAAGAACCTATGCCAAACTAAACTCATCTTGCTTAATAATGCCTCATGCCTGAAATTTTAATTTTCACTCTAACTTTACACATAGTTGACATTAAGTTCAAGAATTAAAGCGTTCGTGCTGTTTGGTAATGCAGATGGTAATATTGGTGGCTGACATCATGCTTTGCCTATTGCCAGCTCAATAAATTTTTGTGTGGTGATGTCAGCATTTTATTCAGCTCTGTAGTAACTTGAAATAAAATTAGTGTTGGACAAAAATGATCTGTATTTTCATTTCTTTCAGCCAGACTCTTCACTAGCATAATTTTTAGGTCTTCTCACTGCTCTACTTTGTGGAAACTTTCATTTACCAAATGACATACTATTAAATGTCTGGGAGACTGTTTTATTGCACAACTTAAAAACAACATTTGGTACCAACAATTATCTTAATTGCAGGGTCATTTTGCATGTATGTTTGACTATTATATTTTGGTATAACTTCAACTTTTGAGACAGATAAAAGAGCAAGAGAATTCTCTAACAATATTTTAATTGAGTTAGATCATCAAAGCTTCACACCATTTTTTTCCTTTGGAAGGAGTAAAGTGTTTTATAGGACAAAGTTATCACAGTTAATCCGAGTAGAAATAGTGGTGGGGCATGGTAGTTCTTTGACTATGTTTTTTGTGGGGTATTTTTTATTGGTTTTATATTCACAAGTCTACAAAATTCATAGAATCCATTCACTGTATCTTTTCTTTCTCAAAATTTTAATCCCTCTTTTATCTAATCATTTAGCTAAATATTCTCTATATGAGTCCATATTATTGTTTGTGTCAGTATGGATCACACATGTAGGCTTCTTCATGTGCCTTTTTTCCCATGAAATTCCTCCAAGAAATAAAATCTGTAGTTTTTTTAGTGCAGCACTGAGATGAGAAATTGCGATTTATCCACTTTTCTCTTTCACTTTCTCTTAACCAAGATCCTTACTAAATTACATTCCTTGCCTAAATTTTTCCCTGTAATTTCTTCTGAATAGTCATTTTTGTAGTCCTAAATTATTCAGATGCTTTAAACGGCTGTTTAACTGCTGCTTTTATTTTACCCTGGAAAAGATATATACAATAAGTTTATATGCAGTGTGTAAAGAGTTTGAGATCAAAATATATTTATTAATCTTTCTGTAGCTCTCAATAGTAAATTTATTTTAATTAGAAAGAAAATCTTATTTGATCTGTATGTGAACGTTATTTTCTGTTATTCTTCAAGTTCGTCAGCTATAGGAAATCAGACTCAGTGATAATTAAAGTTTATAGGTTTATAAGATTGCAGTGTTGTGACCTTGTTTCTTTGATTTCCTGGTTTACTATGATTATTAAGGACCACTATGGGATTGTTGCTTCATAGAAAGCTAAAATTCATAGCCTATATATTCTTTGCATTTGTAAAATTAATAGTATATGTATTCTTCAAATTCTTAGTAGTAGTGGTCTAGATTCGGTACTCTGACATCGACTTCTTTCATAGTGTTATATAAAAACTGGATTACATTGAAATGTAAAAACCAGAATAAAAAGTGTACTAGAAAGAGTGTATGCTTTTCCCACATTTGAAATTTTATTTCTTGTTCATAATTCTTTTTACAAAAGTAGGGTACTTTTCTAAAAGAACCAAATGTACAGAGGATTTTTTTTTTAATTGAAATGTCATTTGTGAGTTCTTCAGGAAGTGTTCATCATCTACATGGGAGTATCAAAGAAATAGTCACAAAACAGAAAACTTACAGTCTCAATTAAATTTGAAGAAAAGCCTCTACGTAATTTGTTTTTCCAGATGAATTTTTCTTTGGCTTATATACCACTATATTTTTATAGACTTGTTTGTGACATATTGTCCTATACTTGCCTTCTATGATAATAGGGTATTTTGTTGCAAGCTGACTTCCTCAAGAAGAAACCTGAGATATTTTTAGAAATGGGAGTTTGTGTTTTCTGGCCAAGAAAAAAAAAATGGCCTGATCTTTATGATACTATAAAATCATAGGTTCTAATTTTATGGACTATAATGTATGAATACCAAGTCTTTGCTGCCATTTCTAATAGTATTCATGCCTTTACCTTTGATGTTAGTAAAAGTACTGTCTTCTGAAATAGTTCCTTTTCTTTGGAAATTAAAGTAGCTTATCAACTTTTACAGATTCCTGTTAGTTAGCTAGAGAAGGAGATGGTAGAATTAATACATATACTGAAATCAATCAAAATGTTCAAGAATGTTTAAGAAGGAATTTCTTAAATAGCAAAGGTAATGCCTGGCTTTTATTAAGCATTTACTATATGCCAGATACTACATTGTGTCTTTTATATTCACTGTCTTATGAAGTTGATATCATTCTTGTCCCAATCTTACAGAATATTAAACTGAAGCTTAGAGAAGTCAAGCAGCTTTCCTAAGGTCAAAAAGCTATTAGGTGGATGGTAATGAAGTGATTAGGAATGGATTATGAAGTGAATGGAGGTAGCTACTTAATTGTGCTGCTTCAGTAAGACAAGAACTTCCTGAAATATATCTAGATTCCACTTTCCTAGAGATTCGATGAGGATATATAATAAACATGATACTCATCTTCATGTAGGAAACAAAGACCCAAAGATGTGCACCATATTTTCAGATTCTTTAATTCCTCACAGTTAAATGTGAGCACAGCTCTCTATGCTTATTTTTTCTTACTTGTTCCTCGCTGAGACTGTTACTTTTCTGTAAGCTGAGTATTCCTGTACACAGAGAACATGCAAGTTCTGTGACTGAGACTTTGCTGTGCCTGCTACCCTTACTTCTCTATTTTTAAAACTTTCTAATTTTGTTTCATTCTTCCTCTCTTTGGACGTTCTCAAGTCTCCCACTCAGACCAACCTTAGAGCTTGCATCAGCTGTTCTGATTGCCTGGTCTCCTGCTTCTTCATAGCCTGTTTCTAAGTGGTTGGCATTCGTAGGACCGCAAATAGGAAAAATGGTGTAGATTATGATAATATTTATATCCTGTCATTTGATTTTCACCACAGCTCTGTAAATGACACAGATTCTTATTTCACAGGACATGTTTAGAAGAGTTCTGGGTTTTGTACACTCACTGGCTTACAGGTTTATCATGATATGTTTTCATATATTAGCATTTTGTGATATTTCTAGTTATGTTTGCTTTTTAAAAATTTGTTGAGAAGTTTCTCGGTAATTTTATATATTTTTGGTTGTTTTCTCCTTTAAGTTCATAGGGTGAAAGATGCCTTATTTTTCCTGTGAGGATAGTGTGTTTATTATCTGTATCAAATTAACATTTAGTTCACTTATCCTACTAAAGTAGTAGTATTAATTAAAGTTAGTCTTTGATCATAATTATTTTTGATCTTTTGCCTGTCAGCCAATGCAAAGAATCAAATCAGACACATGTTAGAGATCTTAGCTAGAGTCCAGCTTTACTCATAGTTTCAGAGACAAGCAGTCAAAGGCATGTGAAGCAAGGAGACAGATCTGGGACTCTGGGTGATGCCACATGTCCTTCCTTTCTACGTCAGACAGGTACTTTGTGGCCCAGAGTAGACAAGATTTCTAAATGAGGAAGTGTAGTTATTACCTCATAGCAAAATGCATTTAGATTTTGAAATTTCTCCACTCTAGTCCCCAGGGTTGGATAGCTTAAGTGATTTTCTCCATTGGGCCGTGACTTATAAATCTATAGATTTTGGGGTTTGTTTACTATAAGTGCCCTTAACAAGGGATAGCCTGCTAAGAACATTATTCAGGTGAGGACTTTCCTCCTAACAAAAATCATTAGCCTGCTTACTAGGAGGACCAGTTAACAGTATATTATTAGCAAGTATGTTAAACTTCTTTATTTATTTTTCCTACAGTTTCTTCCTGATAAAGAAAGTGAATGGATCCCAGGACAACTGCTTTCATTCTTCCTTGATATATAATAGTCTTTTAACTTTTATTCTTTGTCTGTGTGTCCCTCCAACTGTTTGAAAAATACTTCAAACCTAATGAAAAATTGTAATTGTGTAGTATAAAAAGAATAATACTACATTGTGTCATATCCATGCTTGTCCCTTTACTAGTGATGCTGAACCCTAGTCAGTGGGTTTGGATGTTGTCTGCCAGATTTCTCCATTTTAAAGGCACCTTTTTCTGTTTGCAGTTATTAAGTAATTTGTGAGATAATAACTTTGAGACTTTGTGAATATCCTCTAGTCTTTTATCCAGTGATAGATATTCTGTGGCTGAATTGGTTAACAGTTTTTTATTATTTCTGTCTCTTTGCTGGGATTTTTTATTTCTCTGATAAGATCATAACTCATTAAGGAGAATTTTTACAGATATATGCATGTATGAATCATTGAGGCTATTGGTAATAGCCATTTTTGCCTACAGAGAAGGAAAGTGTTTCTGTTTCCTGGTTCTTCATATGCTATGTCCTTCTGGATTTTACCCTGGACATTATAGAAGTTAAGTAATAGAGATTCTGGGTTTTATTATTTTTCTACCAGGAGTGGTTGTCTCAGCAGTTAATGTTTTAGTTTAGGCTTTACCCACAAACGTTTTGTAGACAGCCCCACCCTCACTTCACATCTTTTTTGTTTCTCTGACCTGCTTTGAATCAGTTCTTTGTACGAGTGCTCCCGGTTTAGAAATCTCTTGAGTGTTTTTTTTCCTTTCTGGGTTTCCCCTACTCCCTCAGTGAGTCCTGTATTCTGGCTGTACCCTGCCTTGCGA